TTAATTTATATATATTTTTCTTCTTTATGGTACTTATTTTTTTTACATATATTTATCTTTCTTACTTTAACTCTTTTTTTTATTTTGAATTTTGCTTTTATTATTTTTTAATTCATCTCTTATTATTTCATTTTTTATTCATTTTTTCCTTTTAAATAACTAATTAATTCTATATTATTTTCTTCAATATTTAAAAAGCTCAAATAAAATTGGTGCAACAGGTGCATCAGGCTTAGGTTCTGCTTTACCAAATTACACTAATCTCTCAAATTTGACACTTGATTTTAGGTAAAAATGATATGTTTATTTTTATTTTTTAATTTAAATTTAAATCACTATTTATTAGCTTTTTTATTAATTTGTTTTTCTTCTTTATTGTACTTACCTATGTTTTTTTTACTTAAATCTTTTTTACTTTAACTAGTTTTTTTATTTTCAACTTTTGCTTTTATTATTTATTAATTAATAATTTTTCTTCATTTTTTCCTTCTAAAAAAACTAATTATCTATTTATTTTTAATTCAATACTTAAAAAGCTACAATTAAATTGGTGATTAAGGTACATCAGTCTTAGGTTCTGCTTTAGCAAATTGCACTAATCTCTCAAATTTGGCTCTTAAACTTGAGTAAAAACAGTTTATTTGTTTGGATTGTGTTATTTTTAGTTTTTAATTTGAATTTAAAACACTTTTTATATACTTTTTTATTAATTTATTTTTATTTTTCTTGTTTATTGTACTTACTTATGTTTTTTTTACTTATATCTTTCTTAATTAAACTCGTTTTTTTATTTTAAACTTTTGCTTTTATTATTTATTTATTAATTCATCTCTTATTATTTCATATTTTATCTTCATTTTTTCCTTCTAAATAACTAATTTATTCTTTATTTTTTCTTTAATATATAAAAAGTTAGAATTAAATTGGTGTAATAGGTGCATCAAGCTTAGGTTCTTCTTTAGCAAATTGCACTAATCTCTCAGATTTGACACTTAATCTTTAGTAAAAAATATTTATTTATTTTTTTAATAGTGATATTTTTAGATTTTAATTTGAATTTAAAACAATACAACTCTTTTAATTTGTTTATTAGCTTTTAATTTATTTTTCTTTTTCTTTTTTATTGTACTTGTGTTTTTTTTTCTTATATCTTTCTTAATTTAACCCATTTTTTTTATTTTCAACTTTTGCTTTTATTATTTATCAATTAATATCTTATTTTTTCATATTTTCTCTTCATTTTTTCTTTCTAAATAACTAAATTATATCTTTTAATTCAATATTTAAAAAGCTACAATTAAATTGGTGATTAAGGTACATCAAGCTTAGGTTCTGCTTTAGCAAATTGCACTAATCTCTCAAATTTGACACTTGATTTTAGGTAAAAATAGTTTATTAGTTTTGAATTGTTATATTTTTTTTTAATTTGAATTTAAAACACTGTTTATTAGCTTTTTTATTAATTTATTTTTCTTTTTCTTTTTTATTGTACTTATTTATGTTTTTTTTACTTATATCTTTCTTACTTTAACTAGTTTTTTTATTTTCAACTTTTGCTTTTATCGTTTATTAATTCATTTCTTATTATTTCATATTTTTTCTTCTAAAAAAACTAATTATCTATTTATTTTTTCCACAATATTTAAAAAGGACTAATTAAATTGGTGCAACAGGTGCATCAGGCTTAGGTTCTGCTTTAGCAAATTGTGCTAATCTCTCAAATTTGACAATTAATCTTTAGTAAAAAAGTTTATTTGTTTTTAATTGTGATATTTTTAGTTTTTGATTTGAATTTAAAACAATATAATTCTTATAATTTTTCTTTATTAGTTTTAATTTAATTTATTTTTCTTTTTTATTGTACTTATGTTTTTTTATCTTATATCTTTCTTAATTTAACACATTTTTTTATTTTTAACATTAGCTTTTATTATTTATTAATTCGTATTTTTTCATCATTTTTTCATTATAAATAACTAATTAAATAAATATTTTTACTTCAATATTTATAAAGTGAAAATTAAATTGGTGATTAAGGTACATCAGGCTTAGGTTCTGCTTTAGCTAATTGCACTTACCTCTAAAATTTGACACTTAAACTTGAGTAAAAAACAGTTTATTTGTTTTGAATTGCGATATTTTTGTTTTTAATTTGAATTTTAAACAATAAAACTCTTTTTGTTTGCATTTTATATAAATTATTTTCTTTTTTATTTTGATAATAGTTTTTTTATTTATTAATTTTTAATATAATTTTTTAATTAAAAGATTTTATTCTATTAATTTTTTTTAGTATTTTATTTTAATTTAATATAATATAAAAGTAAAAACTTAGTCAATAAATCATAAGAATTGAAAGTAATAAGTAAGTGTTTTAAATCAAAAAGATTAGTTGTCTTTAAAATAGATTTCTTTTGGTGATAAACTAGTGGTGAAAAAAGGATTAAAAATAATAAATATTTGAATAATAAATAGTAAATAATATGTTTTATTTATTATTTTATGTATTGAAATAAGATAATTTAACCTAAAATATAGATAGATAGATAAATTTATTACTATTTTTAAATTTATGAAAATTATATCCATTTTGGTAACTTAATAAATAACTTGTATTGACTTAAATAAATATATTTCACTGAAACCATCCCTCATTTTAACTAAAATCAATGATTTTAAGCTTAAATATTATTATATACTCTATCTTATTAAGGAATTTGATTGGTTACAATTTGCAACCCCTATATTTCTATTTATTATTTATTTTTATTTAGCCAATCAAAAATATCAGATTTTTAAAAATATGAAAATAAAACTAATTACAAAAATACATATTAATAAATAAATATATTAAAAATTTATTTTATTTTAGTGAGTTCGCATTTTAATTTTCCCTTATACCCAATTTATGTTTCCAAATATATTTTTATTTATAGATTTTAAATAGAAAATATTTAATAATGAATGTTATCCTAACTTTTTTGTGATTTCTATTACGAAAAGCAAATTTATAAATTCATATAATTTATTTATTCTTTTTATCCACTTTTTATTAATTAAATTACCATAAACTTCTATCAAATATTTTTGTAAAAAAAAAATAAATGATATAATAGATTAAAAAATATTACAGATTAGAAGAAGTAATTATTCATATTTTAATCAAAATTCTTTAAATTTATATTTACTAATATTAAAAGTTTTTAAACTCTTCACTTTAATCTCACTAGGTTCTCAAAATTGTTCTAATGTATATTTAAATTATGAATATTATTATTCTTATTATTAAAATTTTCTATATATTTATCTTTCAGTTTATTTAAATATTATTTTACGAAATGAAATTATCATTTATTTTAATTCATTTTATTAATACAAATATTTTTTTCATTATTTTAACTTTATTCAATTTTCACTTAAAATTTTTAATTTATTATCAATTTTTTAGGAGTTATTATTTTTTATTTATGTTTTCATTCTAAATCATTTAATTGATAAAATCAGTTTATTTGATTTGGATTATGATATTTTTATTTTTAAAAATTAATTCAATCCTTCTAAATAACTAATTTACTATATATTTTTTCTTCAATATTTAAAAAGCTACAATTAAATTGGTAATTAAGGTACATCAAGCTTAAGTTCTGCTTTAGCAAATTGCACTAATCTCTCAAATTTGACACTTTTTCTTTCGTAAAAATGGTTTATTTATTTTGGATTTTTATTTAATTTACTTTTCTTTTTTTTTTTGATTTTAATTGTGTTTTTTTTTTTTTCAAATTAAACTTATTCTTTTTATTTTCAACATTTGCTTTTATTATTTATTTATTAATTCATTTCTTATTATTTCATTTTTTTCCATCATTTTTTCCTTCTAAATAACTAATTAACTACCTATTTATTCTACAATATTTAAAAAGGTGTAATAAAATTGGTGATTAAGGTGTTTCATGCTTAGGTTCTGCTTTAGCAAATTGCACTAATCTCTCAAATATAACACTTGATCTTAAGTAAAAACAGTTATTTGTTTTAGATTGTGATATTTTTAGTTATGAAAATCAATTGAAAACAATATAACTCTTTGAATTTGTTTATTAACTTTTTATTTAACTTATTTTTCTTTTTTGATTTTAATTGTGTTTTTTTTTATTATTTCTTAATTTAACTATTTTTTAATTTTCAACCTTTGCTTTTATAACTCGTTTCTAATTATTTCATATTTTTACATCAATATTTCCTACTAATTTATTTTTTCTTCAATATTTAAAAAGTGAAAATTAAATTGGTGCAAAAGGTGCATCAGGCTTATCTTTTGGTTTACAAAATTGCACTAATCTCTCAAATTTGACACTTTATCTTGAGTAAAAACAGTTTATTTGTATTGAATTGTGATATCTTTAGTTTTAATTTGAATTCAAAACAATTTAACTCTTTTAATTTGTTTATAAACTGTTTATTTAATTTATTTTTCTTTTTCCTTTTATTGTACTTGTAGTTTTTTTACTTATATCTTTCTTAATTTAACTCATTTTTTTATTTTCAATCTTTACTTTTATAATTCACATCTTATTACTTCATATTTTTTCCTTTTAAATAACTAATTAACTATATATATTTTCTTCAATATTTAAAAAGGGTTAATTAAATTGGTGCAACAGGTGCATCAGACTTAGGTTCTGCTTTAGCAAATTGCACTAATCTCTCAAATTTGGCACTCTATCTTAAGTAAAAACAGTTTATCTGTTTAGGATTGTGATATATTTAGTTAATAAAAATGAATTTAAAACAAAATGATTCTTTTAAATTGTTTATTAGCTTTTTATTTAATTTATTTTTCTTTTTTATTGTGCTTATGCTTTTTTTACTTTTTCTTAATTTAACTAATTTTTTATTTTCAACATTTGCTTTTGTTATTTCTTAATTCATATCTTATTATTTCATATTATTTCATCATTTTTTCCTACTAAATAATTAATTAACTTTATATTTTTTCTTCAATATTTAAAAAGCTCAAATAAAATTGGTGCAAAAGGTGCACAAGGTTTAGGTTATGGTTTAGCAAATTGCACTAATCTCTCAAATTTGACACTTGATCTTAGGTAAAAACAGTTTATTTGTTTTGGATTGTGATATTTTTAGATAATAAAAATCAATTTAAAACAATATAACTCTTTTAATATTAATTTCTTTTTCTTTTTCTTCTTTATTGTACTTATTTATGTTTTTTTTACTTATATCTTTCTTACTTTAACTCGTTTTTTTATTTTCAACTTTTGCTTTTATTATTTATAAATTCATTTCTTATTATATCATATTTTTTCTTCATTTTTTCCTTCTAAAAAAACTAATTATCTATCTATTTTTCTACAATTTTTAAAAAGGACTAATTAAGTTGATGCAAAAGGTTCATCAGGCTTAGTATCTGGTTTAGCAAAATGCACTAATCTCTCAAATTTGACACTTAATCTAAGGTAAAAACAGTTTATTTGTTTTGGATTTTTTTTTTTTAGTTTTTAATTTGAATTTAAAACTATATAATTGTTTTAATTTGTTTATTAGTTTTTTATTTATTTTTATTTTTTATTGTACTTGTGTTTTTCTTTCTTTCTTACTTTAACTCATTTTTTTTATTTTCAACATTTAATTTTATTATTTATTAATTCATATCTTATTATTTCATATTTTTTTCTTAATTTTTTCATTATAAATAACTAATTAACTAAATATATACTTTAATATTTAAAAAGTCGCAATAAAATTGGTGATTAAGGTACATCAGGCTTAGGTTCTGCTTTAGCAAAATGCACTAATCTCTCAAATTTGACACTTGATCTAAGGTAAAAACAGTTTATTTGTTTTGGATTTTTTTTTTTTTAGTTTTTAATTTGAATTTAAAACTATATAATTGTTTTAATTTGTTTATTAGTTTTTTATTTATTTTTATTTTTTATTGTACTTGTGTTTTTTTTTCTTTCTTACTTTAACTCATTTTTTTTATTTTCGACATTTAATTTTATTATTTATTAATTCATATCTTATTATTTCATATTTTTTTCTTAATTTTTTCATTATAAATAACTAATTAACTAAATATTTATACTTTA